GTCCCCATCCAGACCTAGTATACGGCAACAAGCCTCTCGGAAGCCATTTACAATGCCTGAAGATTTGCACTAAGAGTATCTACTGAAATGCTGAGATTGTATTACTGAAGTCCAGCCCTTTTTCTATTGTGACTCTGTACCTTGGAATCTCTGTGTACAGTATGTGAAACTGGAATGTGGCGTTACAGGTGTTTACCTTCCTACTACGAAAGCAAAACCAATGCACCTCTTTCAAAATCCACTTGGCAACATCACACCTTCAAGAGGACAACTGCAGCAAGTAAATTAACTGCACCTCCCAGCCAGATATCGTATGAACAAACTCAACAAAGTAGCTTGCAAACAAGAAATCGAACAGCTCCTGTTAAGGCTGTTCCATTGCTAGAAGGCTAACAGTTTTCTTCTCTTTTGTAATTTGTTCTCCCAGTTCACATACACATAAGAGACAGGGACACAGTTAACTGTTAGGAGAGTACTGTAGCTTAGTCACTAATTTTCTACTGGATTGAACATTTGCCCTTTAGTGTTTGTGCACTTTATCTCACAGACTAGAGTACCTGACAAATAAAGTGTAAAGGTTATACTACAAATTCCTTTTCACATTCAGTAGGTTTCATCTTGCTTTCTTCTGCCTAGAACGTAGCAGACAGCAATTTTCTCATCTCCTTTGTCTTATTTAATCATTAATTTAATATTAGCGAATTGTGCGCTCAGGGAAGTGGAGGCTGAGGTTTGGAATGTGAGAGAGCATGTTGAGTCAGTGGGGTTTTTGTTTCCTGCTGCTTGTTTTATAATTGTTTTGAACACATTCTGTTCAATCATAGTCAATCGCATTGCAACACAATCGCTGTTGTACCGTAGTCTTTGCTGGTGATGTTTGTCTGTTTTTGTTGTATAACAAAACAGCCCAAAACAGTTGTCTTGGACTTGGACATTTTTCTTGGAGAGGATGAAGAGAATAATACACTGGCATGTTCTGCTGTTCGACTATATTGAGCATATAGTTTTTCAGGGCTACTGTAGCTGAGAACTGAAATCAACATAACGTTGCTGGTGAAACTGAACAAACTTGGGTTTTCTCCCAATGACTGCAAGAGAAATGGTCAAATGTTATTATTGTGTTATGAATTTCAGATTTTTGTTTTATTTTAGGGTTCCTCATTACCATCACTTCACCTCCCATGCTCCCAGTGTAGGTCACCAGTGTCCCATGAAGAAAACAAGAATGAAGTAGTTTTTACTCACCTGTCAGTCCACATTCTGTGAATTTTAGAATCCATACCAGGATGCTTAAATATACTCCTTGACACAACATAGCTCTTCTTCTCTACTAAAACAGCTCATATATCAAATTGAACTGTGCAATAACAAGAAATGGAGTTATTCTTTCTTAAACGCATATGTTGCCTTCAATACATTTATGGACATTTCCTCCTTGTATTCTCATTTTCTACACATAGATACTAGATAACCTCTAGTCTCTGCTGTTGAATCTGGTTTTGGAAAATTGGGCTCTTAAAAAAATCAATGATTAACGCACAGACCTTCTGTGCCAGATCAGAGCCCTTGGTTTCTGAAGAGTCACTCTCCCGGCTCTTAAGATTTTAAAATTCCTGAAGAAACAGTCTGGGTTTAAAAGTGTTTACTACATGTGCACACTGGGACACAGTGGAGGGGCTGTTTTACTGTTAATCCCGGCCTCACGACCTTCTGTCCTGGGCTGTAGTCCCTGACACTTTGTTCGGATGCACTGATGGAGAGGGTGCTGCTCTGGGTGTCTGTTAAGGGCAAAGCTGTCCGATCAGTCCATCTTAGTGCTTACTGTGATGCGCTTGTGTGGAGAGCCCGCACAAGACAACCACTCTCCCCGCATGCCTGCTGTTGTTCATTAAAATCCCCGATGTCTTGTGCAACGAGATCAGAATCCCGTATTTCCCCAGTACAGAGGGTTCTCAATTTACGCGAGAGCTGTGTTCCGGAAACCCGTGCGTATTGTAAATTTCGCGTAATTTAAACGAATTAAAAATAACGGTAAATGCGCACGTAAATTTGACCCTACTTACACCCTTACAGACGCGAATGATGGGACGTGCCATAGACTAAATACCTTCAATAAACAGACTTGTAACATGCATAAAATAACAACACAGTTTACACAGATATCATGTATACGTAAAAATACATAAACTATTAGTAAGCATCAGTTATGTTTACTGTAAAGGAAATTTGAGAGCGTGAGAGAGAACAATTCAAATTCAACCCGCTCCCGATGCACGCCGTGCTCTCACCAACTAATTTATTATGTAGATCATTTGAACGCTTAACATAAATGTGCCTTCGTGTGTTAGAAACCCTTGGATAAACTCTCGCCAAATGTCGAGTATGAGAGCACAACTGAATTTGGGTATGTTCTGTAGGTGTTGCCGAGTTAAAAATATTCTGCCTCACCCACATCTAAACACCGCTCAGGTCTGGAAACTACCGTCTCTGACATGTGATCTTTAACATCCCTGGTATTTGATCACTGGAATGAAGAATTACATTGAATGTGGAATTACAGGTTATTCCAAACTTTAAAGCTTTTTTTTTTTTCATTGTCGGTTACATTACAGAGTTTTAATCTCACCATCTGATGTGATAGCAGAGAACATTACAGCTAGACAGAGCAGAGAAGGTTTTTTTTTTTGCTTCCTTGATGAGCTAGACGGAGCAGAGATCCCTCCAGGGAGTCTGGAGGTGTACACCAGCGGTGGTGTTGCTAGTGTAGGTCTGCATGCGTACGTTAATGCAACACGGTCTTCTCACTCGGATGGAGTTATTGGAAACGGCCCGGTATTTATTGGGGTTATTAATATGAAATATTCCCAGTTAATTACTAATATAATGTAACAGTGTGGGTGTGGGAGGGGGTGTGGCGATCAACGGTAAGAGCCAATGCCCCCGAGTGAGGGGGTGGAGGCATCGGTGTGAGGTCAGTGACCCCCCCCCCAAAGGAAAAATACAAAGGAAAAAGAAAAATGCGGCGCTTTGCACTGCAGCGTCCAGGCGGGACTGAACCTGTCTAACAGGTCCAGTCTGGGAAAAGAGCTGCCTGGGACAGAGGCGTCCAGGCTGGACTGACCAAAACAGCCAAAACGTAAAGCGAACTCATCCTGTCCTGGGGGAGATACAGGCGAAAAGAAAAACGACGGCCTCTTTCCGCAAGCCCCTGCGGGGCTGTCGCTGGAAGGGCCTCCCCTTGCGGGGCTCTGCTCGTCCCTCCGGGGAGGAGCTCGGTATGTCTATCCAGGGCTCCGTCTCCACACTGAACACGCCCCAATTAATTGTTGTTGATACCATACTGACCCGGTCTTCTTTGTCCTGTTCTTCTTCATCGTCTTTTCTCATCCAAGAGCAAGCGAGCTCATGTGTGGGACTGTGGTTCTGCACCCCACAAGGCCTTGCAGTCTGCATGTCAATGCCTGCTGAGTGAGTGTGTGTGTGTGTGTCACAGGTCCTGATGTGCTTTGATGATGTCACTCCCCAAGACTTGTGTAAGGTGTGTAAGGGATTGGCCCTAAGGTGTGTGAACAGTACATGTGCACACGATAGCGCTGGAGAGTGAGAGGGCTGTAAGAAGTCTGTAGATATTAATATACACACTGTGAAAGCTTTAGTGCTGTTCTATAATAATCCCTGATGGCCTCTCTGTGCACTGACTCCTGACAGGCTGTGCACAGATGGGGACTGTAATCTGCAAGTGTTACACTTATTGCTTTACTGTGATTTGGAGTATAAGGTCTGCTTTCTCCACAATAATTCAGGTTCTTGTCGTTCCGGTTCCCTGAGCTCTGAGTCTCAGATCAGCCTTGATTTTTTTTTTTTTGGATTGCATTTGTCAACACCAGCTTTGTCGCAACAGTTGAACTGTTTTAAAATCTCGGCAGGAGGAAGTATACACAGTTAAAATATTTTCACTAGTGACTTAGCCAGTGTATCGGGTTGCTGTGTCGGTGTGCATTTCTTAAAGGTGTATTTAATGCATTACTGTATATCTAGAGAACTGAGCAAATCATCAGCATTATCAAGTCATGCTGGACTTTTCATTCACCCAGAGGCAGCTACATGAGGCAGATATTCTATAAACTGCAGATTTTAGCAATAAAGTGTCCTATATGGGTAGCAGCCATTCATTTTCTCCTTCAGTGCTCTTTGAGTTTAAGACAGTTGAGCAGCTGAGCACATTGAAGTCAATGTCCCAGTTAGGGGAAAACACTCTGTACTTCATACTTCAGCCAGTAGTTTTACAGATCCACTAACCTTGCACTGCTTGATCCCAATTCAGGTAAGGGAATCCGGGACTAGCATGAGTCAGGCACTGTGAAGCCAGTCTTCAGCTTGTCTCTCTGTGCATCTCGAACTGAATGCTGCTGCTTCCATACCCATTGCATGTAAGTATTAACACTGCTCATCAGTGTCCATCTCCCATCCTCGTTTCCTGACCAAGTTAATGGTGACAAATTGATGCTGTTATTTATTGAGTCAATAATTGCACTGACATACAGCACAATGAATTATGTGCTGTGCCAGTCATGAATAAATTGTCAGGCACATTGAAGAGGTGGGGATCAAATGTGGTTTTTTTTGTATCATTCAAGAAGTGATTTAACTTTTATCCTACTACCCACTTTAATTTAACAGGTAAATTCAAACGCGTACCGCCTATACCACACATTCTTTGAGACAAACTTGAGATGATATTGTAGGGAAGGAACATTGTAGAACACAAGAGACAAAGTAATAATCCATTTTTTTTAAATGTGAAAAACACGATTGTGATGCCAGTAAGTAGGTCAAGCAAAACACAGCGCCTTGCTGAGACCTAGTGTGTTCTAGCAGCAGGAAGGAAGGGCTGATCTCATCCTGCCTTGTGTCAGGGAAGAGACCAGACGTGCCCTCAGACGCCAGAGAGCACGTCTGGTCTCACAGTCCCAGCCGAGAGCCCAGCTCTCGGTCCCTTTCACGTGACGTCTGACTGTTGCTCTCAGCCCCTCTGTCTCTGTCCTTCTCTCCAGCTCCCCCGCACATTGACCAATCATTTCAGGGCCCCACATGCAACAGAAATATTCTCGGCTGAATCATGCAGGCAGGGTGCTCTCCCAGTGTTTTTTACCTGCAGATTGAAGGACTCGTCCAGCCTGAGCCATGATTGCATTCAACAGCCCGAATGTCCTATTGATGCTTCCTTATACAGGACCCGCAGGCATAAGTTATTCCAATATAAAGTGCAACATGAAATAGGAAACAGTAAGAATCCTGCAAGCTGTGGAATCTACAGCTGTCTTCCTAGGTTTCGGCTCAAGGCCAGTGCAGACCAGAATCCAGAACCTCTGGCTGCTCCATGCCAGTCTTCCCAGACGGCTCTTGGTTGTCAGAATGGATGTTTGGGTTGAGTCGCAAAGAACTTGGCAAAGGAAGTTTGCATTCGACCAGCAGTAGCTGAGCAACTCCTTCTGGGAGGACTCGGTGACTGCTGAACTGAAACTTTCAGGAGTTTTCGGGCATCCCCTGAAGTCCTCACTCATACGTGAATCTTGGGTGACTGGCGCCCCATCGCCTGTGTCTTTTACGAAATGTTCTTTCAGGACCCTATGCAGAGGACACAATCCGGAAGGGAGTGAACACACACTGGGAGGAGACGAGGAACTGGGCTGGTAGAGGAACTGGGGGTGGGGAGGTCCAGGTGAACAGTCCAAAAGGGAGTCCAAAGGGAAGTCCAGTGCAGGCAAAGGTCCAGAGCCGGGTGATCAATCCTAGACGAACAGAACAAAGTTAAAAGCAGGAGTGGAATCAAACGAGGGGTTGTAGACCGACATGACAAAGTTAAAAACTGGAGTGGGATATGGCGAGGGGTCGGGGGGAAGAAAGAGGGGACCGGAACCAGGCCAGTTGCTCCAGGTCCCGGACTCAGCTGGGTCAGGAAACCAACGCAGAGCCCGGAACAGAGTGAGCGTCTGGCTTTTGCAGGGAGGCTGGAACAGGGAGCAGGTGCACAAAATCAACTAAAAAGTGAACGAGCCAGAGCGCCCTTAAGGAGGAGGGACTACAATCGTGACGGTGTCCTTACTGTGTGACTTCTCAGCAGGTAAGAGAAAATCCAGTCTTCCATGTCATTCCTCTAGGCGGTTTAGCTGGAGACTTTCACCTGCAGGTTCTGGAAGACCGATGATAGTACATGTCAACCGAGGGAATGCTTTCCTGAGTTTACATTGTATAAGTAGAAGATTTCATTACCTTCATCTTTCCCACCTTGCTTATTCTTGGGTGATGTTGGCTTACCTGAAATAACAAACACAAAAACAACTGTGTTCTGCTTTCCTATAAGTAAGAAACATCTAAATACAATATATGAACATGTGCTGTACATGCACGTAGACCATAGAGAAATGTGAAACAATTTCTTACTGATTTTCTGAATGAATGTTTCCGGATAACAAAACATTCATTCTTGAAATGTGTAAAAATGGATGCTGAATAATATTGCTACACTTTCCACATACCTTTGTTCCTTTTTCTGTATATTATTACTGCTACTATGGCAGTAATTAATGCTCCTACTATAAGTGATGAAATAGCAACGCCAATAATGACCCCAGTGTTAGATTCCTTCTCAGTCCTCCCTATTATACCTGTCAGTGAGAAAGACAGAGGTCATTCCAATAAAGTATATGCAAGATAATAAGGCTTTCACAATCTTAAAAAACAACAAGGAAGTATGACAGGCATAGTGCATTCTGATTTACACTAATGAAAATTAAATTCACAAAACAAACTTCACGAGTCTTCTCGGTTAACAGTAAAAAAAAAGACTCAGGTATAAACATTTGCCCGGGAGACTAGGGGAAAACTTCCGAAAACGACAGTGAATGACCACAGTTATGCGATAACATTGAATCTCAAACTGTTTGCTTGATAGACCTCGTGGGTTCTGCAAATGAAAGATATTTGTATTCTATATTTGTGTGTCAGCACCTGCAGGCATGGTGATATTCACGGCGGTGTGAATGACGAGCACGGTCTCAAACACAGAATATCGGCAGGTGTAGGTGCCCGTGTGGGCTGTGCTCTTGGGGTTCAGAAGCAGCAGGGTGCCGTCTCCAGAGAGCAGACTGTCTTTGGTCACTTGGGCGTCTTGCCACTGCTTTAAGACAGTGTCACTCCTGCTGTCATAGGACAGGATGTCAGAACTTTTCTCTCTGGATCTGAAGCTCCACTTCAGGATGAAGTTCTTCAGGTTTTTACTGGGAGTGACACAGGGAATCGCCAGTTCCTGTCCTTCAGGGCCAGCAATTGCTTAAAAAACATGCAGGAAATATATTCCATGAATTAAAATCAAATAAGCATTACAGTATGTGAAAAATATGGACATTGCTGTATTCAGAAATTCAGATTCAGAGCACATTTCTTAATCTTTCTGTGTGAAATCAGAGTGTTCTTTATTCTTTATTATTCTCTTTCATTATTTATAAAAGTCATGGGAATACATGAGGCTAATTAAAAAATAGCAAATAGTCAACATAATTCTTTTATTTTAGTTTTGTCTTAAAATATCTTGAAGAAAACAGCGCTACCTTGTTCTTTTAGGGACGCAGTCCAGTTCTGTTTTCCATCTAATGAGTTCACGGCACAAATGTAAATGTAGTTTGAAAATATATTTAGTTTCTTTAGCCTGCTGTCCACACTGTACAGCCCCTGGCCGTCGGGTGTCTTTCTGGTTGTAGGTTTTAAGGGCTCCAACAGCGCAGGCTCTGTAAACCACCTGATGTGGGGAGCAGGGTAAATGCCCCTGGAGGAACATATGACTTCCTCAAAGCCGCTCATACTCGTGAACTCTATGTCCAGGGATCTTACAGGAGCTGCAAACACAAAACAGAATTACTCACTGTTACCATTAACTAACGCAAGGGGGGTCCAGTCATAGTCCTGGAGGTCTGCAGGTTTTCATTCCAGCTCTTCCAGCTTTAATCAAGCTCAGTCAGCTCTTTATTGTCTTGGTGGGATTGACTGAACAGCTTCTCCTAGATTTCCTGGTGTTGGTGCTTTGAAGAGACCTAGGCAACCTGTGGACATACCAGCCCTCCATGATCAGGACTGCCCACCCCTGAACTAAAATAGTGTGCTGGTTGAAGCCTAAAAGTCACAAACTAAAATGACTGACCTTCTACTTTCACAATCACAGAGCTTTCATTGCTCCCCATCTGAGTGCTGATGGAACACTGATATCGGCCTTTATCTTGAACCTTTATGTGTCTGAGCAGAAGAGAGGCGTTGCCCAGTGTCAGGAGCTGGTCCTTGAACAGCGCTGTTCTGCCATTGTACTGCAGGTCCTGGTTACTCAGCTGGTCAGCCTGGTGGTAATAGCTGTGCACATGAAGACTGTCCTTCTTCCAGTGAATGACTTCGTCTCCAGCAGGGCGGAATCTGCAGGGCAAGACGCAGTCCTGAGAGAACCCACATGTCAACATCACACCTGGAAGAGAGCACTTCATCCATCAGAAACACATATTCCTGATAAGCATTGTGGCAACCCAGATTCTGTCCCAGAAGCATAAGGGCATACGGCAGCACCATAAGCGCTTTGTTACGTTTTAATTTTGTGTCATCGTATAGCTCTATTAAAATCCACAATGACCAGATGGAGACTTCAAAGACTTCAAATATGCCAAATTAGAATAACAGCCATTAATTCAGTACCCCGGACAGACCCTAATTTAAAGGAGTGGTTTGAATTCTGATTGGTGTAACTTGTGCAAAAGTGAATAACTTTCCTTCTGAATTATGAGCTGCTGGATAACTACAGAATAATATCTAGAAATACCCATGTCATGGACTTTAAGTGTATACAGTTCATGATGCCAGGCCATTTATACGAAGGGTACCAGAATCAAGGCTATTGTTATACTGCTACTAATTCTCTTCGCCACAATGAGTTCTTGCACCCTTTTCTGTTGTGCTTCTTACAAGAGAGGTGGACCTTGGGTAGCTTGTCCTGTGCCAGGTGGTTTTTGGCCTTCCAGGATTTCTTTTGCCATCCACTCTCCATCTCAGGCACATTTTGGCATCTTGTCAAGTTCCATTCTCAGCACATGGCCAACCCAACAAAATTGACGGTCCTAATGTCCTGTATGATGTTCTGGTTTCCAGTCTTTCTGTAAAGCTCGCTGTTGGAAATTGTGTTTGGCCAGAAGATGCAGCATATTCTCTTAAGGCAACAGCTGTGAAAGAAATTCCAGTCCTCTGGCTTACACTCGTTTCTGTGACTGTGACTGTCTTGGAATACAGTATGTCTCCAGGAATGTGGAACTGCAGGATCGTTCCACCATTCTGAAACCTGTGAGCACTTTTTAAGTTACTATCTTCTAAAACAGTACCAGACAAAAATGACAGCAAAGGGCTAATCAAACAGACTATGAGGATGAGAGAAACGTGTTCCCTCACATCGCGTGTTTAGATTGAAAGAAGATCCGGAGTGGGGCTGGAACTTGAATCAATGAAAGAGAGTCGTAGGGTTTCATTGGAGTGGGGTCTGGTGTGTGATGGGGAGGAGGGAGAGAGGAGGAAACATGCCACATCTGTGACATTTTTCCTGGCTTGTCTTGTTATCGTTCTGATGTTCCTTGTTAACATTAAAGTAACATTTGCATCTACAAAAGCAGCACAAATTATGCTCAATTATTCCCAAATCATACAACAGTAAGTTCCCAAAGGCTTAAGCAATAATTTAAAATCAAAGCAACATGAGTTAACATGATGGTGTTGCCACAAAACTTAACTAGGCGAACAAAAGGCAGTTTCCAGCTGCTCTGTCATCTGCCTGCCAGACCAAGTGCAAAAGAACATCAGCTGCTGTGGTTTCAAACCTACATTTAAACTCCCCCAAGCCCTAAATCATGCTTCAGGCAGGCAGACCCACAACAGCAGAATGCTCTGATGTAGAGCACAAAAATACCCATGAAACAGACACAGTAAAACAGAACAGGCTAAGAACAGGCGTGTGCCCTGTGGCAGGCTAGCCCATGAAGGGGCTGCAGTAGGGGCAGCCACAGAGCCTCTAGCACTTGGGTGGGGATTTTTTAATTATTAGTTTATTTGTGAAGAGTTAGTGTTTACGTACTCACATGGGTTTTAGTTAGTGGTGTTTATAGTATAAAAATGACACTGTTCGTTTTGGTTTGGTTAGTAGTCATGGGCTGAAGCTAGAGAGGAATGAATGAATCCTGAATTTTACTTTGACAATTACTAGAAGTTTGTACGCAGATCCACTGGGCCTGTCCTAGCTACAGGGGAGGGTCTATTGCACACCTCTCCCCTCTGTCCTTCGGAGTACCAGAAAACAGCTTGCATGCTTCCACTCCAGTGAGTGGGATCAGTAATGCCCACAAGGGAAAGAACAGACAGAAAAACAAATCCAGCTCTGGAGCCTGACAGAAAAGCAACGAGTCCAGTCTGTAGGCAAGATATTTCTGCAGCTCAGGTACGACACCTTCTGCTTCGTGTGTTGCATTGAACAGGTTGGGTCGGCCGCCAAGCGTGCTTTTCAGCTTTGCCAAGTGAAACACTAACACGCTGATGCCCGTCCCTCCGTACAGCAGAGCCAGAAGCCCCAGGTGTCCCCATAGCCTCAGCGCGGCCTGGTGGTCTCCAGAGAGGATAGCCATAGCCCCTTCTTCCTCTGGATTTTTTTTCTAGAAAGTGGATTAAGATCTCCCGCTATGCGCCTCGGCAGGGCAAAAATACGCACGTGAGACTGGCAGCTTCTGGACTTCATCTCGGCCAGACGGCCCTGAAGGCAGATTATCTCCCCTCCCTGGCTGTCCAATACGGGCTTGTTTTCTCTTTGCCGATGACCGAACAGCTGTGGTTCCCTGCTGAAGGCGGGGCCTGCTGGCCCCCAGGGTGGAGCTACGGCTTTAGCATCCATGCAGAGATGCGCAAGGGGACCAGATCCCTCAGTGAGCGAAGAGCTGGCCATCAGACAGCCAAGGCTGCTCCTCTGCTGAAGTCCTTCGAGGAAAGAGTGGGGTCTGCAGCTGGGGCCTGCCAGGTAAGAAGCTGCTTTCCGACTTTGCTTTTGGCTTCTGGGAAAGGGGTGCCTGAGCCCATGGTGGAGGAATGGCGCCTCTCCGTAGGGCACACGCTGATACCACGGGCACAAAGACTGTAAATACTTAAACCGGGGCAGGATGTGGGAACTCCTTGGCTAAGTAGCAAATCTTGGTCAGGAGTCCCCCCTTAAAACATTTAAGTTGCAATTAGTTTACATAAGACCTTTGGGTGAAGCGTAAAACGTGAAGCAGTTTAACTTCATCTCAGGCACGGAGGTGCAAAGTAACAAGTGAAGGCTGACTCCATGCTGAAAAGTAGAACCACAGCCTATCAACCAAGCTGTTGTCCCTTCTTTCTACACTTTAGTGTGGAATTAAGCTGCACTTGTTGCTTATCTTCCATCTCGCCTGCTGCTATGACAAGGGAAAAGCAGCATCTTCAGTGTGACCACCATACTCGAGCAATACAGGACAAGGATTCTTGTGGAGGGCTTGGACACCTGAGGCTCACCACTTATTATGGAGTTCTGCGACATGTAGTACTGAAAGCACATGTCTTCAATGAATAAAGTCTGAAACTAGAAGACTCTGGTAATGTCAATTTGGTAGCATAATATTTAGTTGCATATTATAATCCTCGCTATGCTTCTGGTAAGCTTGATTACAGCATGCCTCCTTGGAGTACAGACCTGAACTTTTTCCTGTAACTGTAAGCTTAAAAGAACAGCCTTGCTCCACAGATGAAGAGTGAACAGGTGTAACCGCTTCTGAGCTGAGACAGTAGCACAGCACATTACAACTTATAGCTGACTTTTCATTTTCTCCTAAAACAGTAATCAGGCAGACAGCAATTTTGTTGAAACCGGAGAAAGGTAGTGAGATCTAAATACTGGTTCTTTCATTTTTTGAGTGTATTTTCTCTGTACAAGAGTTCCAGTCACATCCCTTTTGACTGGCAAAAACAGTGAAAAGGTTCCAATTTCTTCAGCGTTCAAAAGGTTTTTCCCGCTAACCACCTGAAAGTAAAACTGAACCTTTTACTTACTGGGAATTTCACATTGTGTGCCTTTCAAAACCCAGAAGATCCAGAAAAACAGGAGTTTAAAAGGCATCAACATCCTTCTCTCCCAATCCATCATCTCTCTCAAGTGCAACCTGCAAAACACAAGAATACAGATCACAAATACTGCACACAAGGACAAGCAGCAGTGCTTGGGGGCTCTGGACTCATATCCAGAAGATTGTGTGTTCAGCTCACAGCTGTGGACACTGCTGTTATGCAATCGAGGAACATACTTCATGCAGACAACTCCAGTGCAATACACAGCTGACTAGATGAGTGCAGATGCAAGAGCCCAGATCCCTGGGTTCTGCATGGACTTTGTATTTTCTCCCCATGCTTGGTATGGTTTCCTGCTAATATATCTCAGAGGACAAGATATGAACATTTTGGAAGAAACATCACACCTGAAAAGCATCTATTTCTGGATTCTTTTAAATCATGAAACAGACAACTCTTTTCGGCCGTTTAGTAGAAAATGAACTTTGCCTGCTAGATCATGAAAGGCAGTGGATTCTCCTTATGGGACAAGAAGATAGCCATGCGGATGTGCTGCAGCAAATCAGAGCTCATTCGTTCCACAGCAACTCTCCTGATTTTAGCTCTGCAAGGTACTTTCAGGCCTTTTGTGATCTCAGCACAAGTCCGTCTTATAAAAGTAATTAGGAAGTCAGGAAATCAATAACTCACCGTGTATGCTGTTGGTCCTGAAATTTCCCAAACCTACTGTGCTTTGTTAAACAGTGTGTGTGCTGCTTTTCAGACCAGTCCTTTCAGCTTCTTCTGGGTACCTCCCCAGCTCTCAGATTTCAACTTTTGTCTGTCGTGCTTTTACACCCACTTATTGGGTTACAGGCTATCCTCTGAGCTCTGGTGTCTCACGTTTCTGTTAATGATGCAATGAATGATCCTCAAGGAGGTTTTGTTCCTCGCTAATTTAAGGTACGTGTTGGGGAATGCGATTTTATTTGTCTACGACAAACAAAAGAACTCATGCTGAAATCTGGTACTGTTTCAAAAGAAACAGCCGGAATCCTTCCTCATGTTGGGTATATGTCTTGATTATTTTCATTATTTCTTTCAAATAACTACAGTAAATCTGAGGAATCTAAAAAAATCACTTATTTTGCACCTTACACTAAGCCACAGATATTCAAACATCAGTCCATTAGTGCAGTGTAGTTTTTGACTGTAAAACATATCTCAAAATGAAGTGTAATAAAATGTCAAAAGAATCAAGGCAGCCTTCAGTCAAAATGAACAGGTTGCAACATGTCTGAAAATTTGCATTTCAACAAACCAACAGACCTGTTAGGTGAGCCGACAAAGAAATTGAAAGTGACCTGTTTTGGTCTTGGATTTGTAGAGAGAATCGACAGTGTACACAAATGACGCTCCCAGCACAGGGATTTTGTAGTTTGAACTGGATTAAGGCAAGAACAGGATTGTCAAAACATCTTGCTCAAAATATAAAACAATGGTAAGAGGGAGCTGAGGTTATTCAACCAGGCAAGAATTATAGTATCTTAACATTGAACGATATCTGAGGAAAAACACAGCTTCCACAACTACTCTGCAGAAAACTAAAATTGCAACCAAACCACACACATGCAGTCTTGTATATAGATTTACAATAATACTGAGCAGTTAAATGTTGCCATAGAGCCCCACTGTCGTTCATGTCCATTGGTAGATCATTAAACCTTTTCACGAATGATATTTTGAATTTGCTTTCTTCCACTGTATGCAGTGTACCGTTTCTGACTGTAAAGCTTTCTCACTGGTGATAGGAATCCTTTTTACCAACTGACACACACAGCTGGGCGCCCCGGTTGATTTGTGAAATTTTTATTGAGCTTCGACCAAAAGTTTGGGAGGTGGTCAGACCCTGATCTTGCCCACTCCCACTTACCTACAGATAAATATCACGCTTCTAGCTGCCTTGCCTGCGTTTCATTTTCACATCTCTCCCTCCACCCCACCTTCTCTCTTACTCGATGGCTCATCGCTCATCAAAGCAGGGGGTTCCTGACAGCCCCCTCTATAAGGACAGTTTGTGGTTCTCCTCACCTGTGTGAGTTACCTCAATCAAGCTCACTTTGAGAATCATGCTCTTCTTCCTTAATTATAGTTTGACCAAATTGCTGAAGTAGCACTAGGGATATGAGGACTACATGAAACTCTTGTGTATCTTTCCACTGAATGAGTCTTGGAAGGCTCTGTCAGGCAGAAGCAGTAGGAGAGCACCTCTGGGAGTGCTGTAGCTGGAAATGTAGGGAGGGCATCATGGGTCATGGGCATCAGCAAGATGTTGATTGGTTTGTCCTTTCTGAAGGATTCCATGGTTAAACAAATGGATTTATTTAGTTTGTTACAACATTTTGTTCCATGAAATCTGTAGTTGGCTTATTCTTGCTGGTAGTAGCTAAAGGGTTACAGCCCCACTCACTGCAGCTCAACCAGTAATTGGTCCCAGCTGACAGTGTTTTTGTGTGTTTTGTATGCCTAATTACTACATCAAGTATTGCATCAGATATACTGTCACGCCTGGGTTGTCAAGGTAACTGACTTTCTAATCAGCTAGTCTGTTAAAAACCAGTGGTGCCTTTAAAATCACTACCTGATCTGATTCTACCCACCACATTGATTATACAGTATATACCTGAAAAACAATGACCCTTCACATCACCTGAAAACTTGTTCCTCAGAGAATTTTTACAACTAATTCTGATTGAAGAAGCATGGCTGCTGGGTGGAATATGTCTGGTGGGATCACGGTTTTCACTTTTAGATTGTGTAAGATCTGTTGATGTCCATCTAATCCAGGCTCCCACTGGAATGCATTGGGAAACATCAGGAATGGCTCAGATATCATGGCATCAACCACATGCATTTGGAAGCTGATGGGTAGTTTGCATCATGCTTGTGTTGAGTGAATCACAGCTGTGTGAAGCTCTGCAGCTTTTTTTCTCAGCATTGTCACGTTTGTCACTTGTTGGCATGTGACAGTAAGTGCTAAGAGATATAAGACAGTTAGAGATCAGAGCGTAATCCCCTTCACAGATTGGAAGTCTGGGTCAGAGACTGTGGATTAATTTGCTGTGAAATTAAATTTGATCCGTGATATTTTTCTTTCCCTTTGTGAATCAGTGAATATTAACTTAAATTATCCACGAACTGTGTTTATGCCAATGAAAGGCAGTCGGATCTTATGACGCTGGTGAGATGCAGTCTATAGCCTAAAGCTTTCTGTTTTATTTTCAGGACCACTTCTTCCGCTAAAAAAGCACCTCTACACGTTCATGTTGATTTGATCTCATTTACACAGGCCGTCAGAGTGATAGACATTAAGATATTAATTTTTTATGATTCTTCCGTTCACCAAGTAATATTCAACTTCGAGTAGGAGCTCATTTGGTATGTGAAAAAACCCGAGTAGCTCACCACTCCAGCCAGATATCAAGTACGCGCACTTATTTCTTAGCTTATTTGATTGTGTGATTTACCATTTGATTGTATTAACAAAGCTTCAGGGAGTTAAGAGCCAGGATTTGGGAACCGGTTAAGCTCCAGCTCTGTGATGGTATCATCACACCTTCTAAAAAGGTAGGGTTTCACAGGCTATGATTTGTGAGGCTGTGGCGAGAGCAGATTGTCCTTACTCTGTGTCCAGTCACAGACGACAGAAATGTCAAAACTGGGAATTACAACTCTTCATTCTATTCTGAAGGTCGGTGCGTTAAAGGCTGGTCTGTGTGGGTGATTACTGGGAGTGACTTCTTGGCAGGAAATAAGTCGGAAATAACGGACAGAATGTAAAGAAAAAAATATCTTCAGGCAACACTACTGTACTGTAAATGATCCCAGCTGCCACTGATCCAACAGTCTTGGAAGGCCTTGAGAGAGGTTTTGCCCCAGGCTCGTATTCCCTCTCCTCTTCAGCTTTCTTTCTATTATTTCAACGCTGCTGGCTGGAATGGAGAACCTCGTGGATCATGTGATTACTTATTTGTGTGTTTTCCCTTTGTGTAAAAAGGTACTCTTGTACATTATCTGTTATAACGGATGTCTGCTATGTAAACAGCAAGAGCAAGAACTCAACAGCCGCAGTAATACTGATAATAATGCAGCCTCATAAGTCCTTAATGGAACCTGAATTAAAATCCACAAATTGCTTAGCCCAGGATTTCTCAATACACATCCACTTTGATAAAAGCAGCAGCTCACTTGTTCTCGTGATGAAACAATCATTGCAGTGACTAAGGAATTAGTTGGAACAGAATTATGCGGGTGGAGTAGCCCTGTTACACACCGCCTTAGTCAAGTGGAAAACTGGTATCCATACCACTGGTATCCACTGGTATCACTGCAGTGATTAAAATACTTCTCCCCCAGAACAGGGGGGTGCTGAGCTGGGAAACTCAAAACATTTGAGAACAGGAGGGATCAAGTGAGCTGCTGCAGTGTAGCCATGGCTGTATTTGACCTGTTCCCACTGTTATAAGGTCCCAGCTCACAGTTCCCAAACAACAAAGCCCGGGAGACTGGCAGAAGTGGGTTATTTTGTTATTTGGCGGAATTTGTAATCAGAACAGTGCCATTGTTTATTTTTTTCCGTTTTATTCCCGACTTTGTAGGTTATTGAAAGATTGCTGCGGCACAGCAACAGATAAGAAGATTAAAGGGGCTTAACGTCATTCTTTTGTTATTACAGGAATAAATTGCTATTCAGTTTAATCGGGACTCGGCGGGAGACGAATCACATTAGGAGGTCCGGGCGGAGGCGGGCGCAGGCCCAGGCGGCGACACTGACTCGGCGAACCGCACAGAAGGGGTGCCACAGCGTGCCAGCCGGACGCCGCGATGCAGAGCTGCGGCTGATTTCCCGGACGGGCTAGAGGGAATTTCTGGACGCCGGCGGCTTTGGTCATGGCCAGAGCCTCCGTCGCCGGGGGAGGGCTTGACCTCGGCCGACTCCAGCGCGATGACCGTAGGAGGAGCTGAGAGCAGCCCCGCGCCACCTGCCCAGTGATGGACGCCATGCACCTGGCATTCAGACTGCTCTTTCTCTCCTGGCTCTGGCCAGGCGCCCTGCTGAGCGGAAGCCACTTCCAGGGCAAAAAGAAAAACAAGGATGTGGTCCTGGGAGAGCACCGCAAGCATGGCAGGTGAGCAGTGCTTATTCGGATGTAGGGCTCTGACCACTGAAAAATCCTTTGGGCTGGTCTGCAGAGTTTCTTTACAATAAGAGCCAAGATACCGACACCGTTATGCTACACTTGAAGGTATGGGTGTTTTATGTTTCTGACATTGTATTTAAATGCACTGTCTATGCCTAGAAAGGCCTTTATGTACTGTATGCGTTTGGTGCTATGGTCTCTCTGTAGAGCCTCCCTTTGAAGTTTACTTTATAGCTACATCAGCACAGGGATAGGTTTAGTAGAGCTGTAATGTGCAGAATGGCAAACACTGGTCAGTTGTCTGCTGCTCATCATATAAAAGTTGTATGAAACAAATTCCTTTAGTTTAATACGTGTGTTGTTTCGGCCAACTTCCAAATATCCAGTTAGATGTTAAACTTGAATGTGTAGGTATTCTCTAATGCAATCAAGTTCAAAGCATACTTTGGGCATGATGGCATTAGTTCAATAATTTATCCTCGGGGGCAGTAACCCCGAGTCAGACTTGAGATGAGAAGCCTGCTGAAAAAGCAGCAGTAACCTCAGAGATTGGTATTCAAAGTTCACAGTCCTGCATACTACTGCCGTCTCTCCTGAAATACGTTTTTTGAAGTGTTTTTTAAACGTTTTTTGACCCAAATAAAACATTCAAGAAAGAATCTGCATTCCGAATCAGAAACAGAAGCGAGCATACTTATACAGTGTTGTCACCTACTGGAACAGCTGTGAGTGAAGTACTTACTGTGCTCATACCTCTGGAGGAAATGGGTATATTTGCTTTTATTCTATGAAAGCTCATTATTAGCATAATATTAGTATATAATTGCAGGAATACAGTAATTAGCACTCTTAAATGAGCTGACTAAAGCATCTTAATTAACATCAGAACAAAATGTGTGGTGAACCAAAAGATTCTAGAAAAAATAGTATGACAATAAATGTACTGTGTATTAAATTAGTAAATAGCCTTGATTTCTGGACAAAGAGTGTCAGAGCTTATGCCAGCATCTATCTGCACAGAGGCTGAATTTCGAACATTTGTTTCCACAGCCCAGTTAGATTGTGAGAGCCTTTCAGACGTGGTTATTAAACCCATGACCCTTCTCCTCTGGGCTGTCTTAATCAGACAGTTTAATTGGAGCTCTGGGCGCACTGCCTGGGAGTTCACTGAAGCTTGGAGCAGATGTCTCCAGGAATTCAGCATCACAATCTCTTTTGTAGTTAGCAGCACTCATAACAGAATCTGCCATTTTAATCTGGTTGGGGATTATCAAGGTAAATGTACTTGCCCGCGTTTTCCCCCTTGCTTAACGTCGTTTAAATTGCCCTTTGATATTCTTTTCTGACCCTTTCTTCTGTGTGTGACGTGCTCGGTGCAGGTCTGCAGATTTACCACTCCAGCTTTGTTGGGTTTATTTTTCCATCCCGAAAAGGGGACACATTCCCTGGACACCCGGAGAGCACCCCAATCCCACTGTCCCGGTGCGGTGTGACCCCCATTCCCACCCACCCCCAAAATCCTGCATTCTGTTTTACTTAGTACTGTGCGCAGTAAATTCACACTTTCATTGTGCCTCTACTGTACCTTTACTATGTATTTACCCTCCTCTCATAATGCTTGCTTATGAAGGAGCCTCTCAGCGTTCAGTTTTGTGGGCAGCTGGGCTGGGGGCTCTTGTCTTCTGTCGGTGGTCAAATCTGGGAGTCCTCTCCGCTCGGTGTCCCTCTCTGAAACTGAACTGGAGCCCAGAGCCCAAGGGGTTTTTCTGGGGGGGTTTCTGGGTTGATTAGAATGTCAAGCCTCTGAAACACCTTGTTTGTATATACCGTCAATACAGTAACTTGTGTGTTGTGTGTTTATGTTGTGATTAGTGTAGTTTGTGTCTTGTCATTGTTAACAGACATTTGTTTAACTGAGTGTGCCTGGATTGTTACTCCTTTCGCTTCAGCTGTGTCAGAGAACAAAGAATGTATGTGCCTCTGATTATACCCACCACTCAGGTATATTCTGGAGAAATCACTTACAAGTTGGGGGGTTATGAATAATTATTTTACTGATTGACTAAACTGCTCTGTCAGTTTCTGATATTCTGCATTTTCATAACCCAACATTTGTAACAATATAAAAGCAACGCTGAGCAGAATATGCTCTATTATTTCTTAATTCTGATAAATGAGAGCCAGATGATATTTCAGGCTCAGAGAGGCCACCTGTCATCAGATATGAACTTGTTGAATTTAATAGTTGTTCAAACGCGTTTAAATATGTATTGCGCAATCACGTTAATGTGTCTTGTTACAATATTGATTTCATTGTGTGTTTTTTCTGTAGATTTGTATTACAAGGAGTATCTTTTTGGAAAGCGTAGATGAATAGTCTTCGGTTGTTCCTTCACTGCTCGGATGTGTTTCCATGTGGGAAATGGCTGGAGACTGGGGCCGTCCCGCTGTGTTTGTCAGCCTCGGCCTAAAGCTGGGCAGGACCTGCTGCACTGCAGACCCCGGTCCCTGCTGGACCTATCAGCCCAGACCCGGAGCGGGATGGAAGATCGGGCCACGTCCCGGCCCCTTCTCTCGGCCAGCTCCTCGGGGCTCTGAGGCCTCTCCGCTCTCCTCCCACCTTGAGCCGCCGAGTATCCGAACCCACGTTCTGCTGAGCTGGACCACCTGGAGTTTCCTTCCCGGGTCTGCAGCTTGTGGGATCTATAAAACCTGCAGGGCAGCGGGCCCAGCGGAGGGAGGGCAAAGCCCTCTCTGCTCGCAGTGTGCACCTCTCTTTTCGTTTACGCGGTCGCTGCATTTGGACGCCCCTCGCGTTGTGATCCTATTATCTCCGCACCTCAGTTTGTTTCGTTCTTTTGTTCCTTTGCCCCTCACAGTCGGATAGACTTCAAGCTGAAGAAGTCCGACAGCACCAAGTCGACACTGATCAAATCCGAGCAGCTCCTGCGCATCGAGGACCATGACTTCGCCATGCGGCCAGGATTCGGGGGTACGTTGGGCCCTCGGGTTGTGCCTTGGGGCGTTTGTAGACGAAAACATTGTGCCCAGCCAAAGGTCTGGCCTTTTCAGCTTTAATGCAATTGGAACAATGGGTCCAGTGGGCCTATAGGAGACCTGGGGGTTCTGTGAGTGCAGGGAGACCAGTGTGGCAAGCTACCGTAACCTGCAATAACCTGTAACTTGCACCATTGACAGCAGTCTAGTTGTGTGTAATCTTTGCATGGTACAGTACAAATTCTGCAATTGAAAGAAGAGATAGCCGTGACCTATTTTCCAGCAAAACCAACAATAGCTCTGCAGCAAAGCCGAGGAGAGAGACTTAATCTTTTGAGACCTGGCTGTCGCTGTTTGCCTGCCCGTAGGAAATTCACCGAGCTGTCGGTTTTTCAGGCTTACCGTGGTTTGTGGTACAGTAGGTCATCAGAGACTGGTACTGCAATATCATTTAAATTGAGGCTGCAGAAGAATTCAATCGCCTGGCTTTTGTGTGCGATTGGTTTTTAATTTGAATAATTCCTAGTTTTGTAGCTGAGGGCAAAGGTTCTGAGTGCAGGCCATGGCTATTGCTCTTGCTTTAATGCATGTAGGGCCATTTGCTTTTTCTCCTCCCAAGGAGGTGAAGAAATTTCAATGTCACGAACTACACAACAGGAGCATTCCACAGTCAGTTCAGACAAGTTCTGAAAAGGAATGTTTCATCATATGGAATGGAACACATTTTTATTGAAACCCTCTGAAGCATAGAAATTAGAACACTACTGTAAAAGCTTCCTGCTCTAACAGTTTCACAACATGATTTAAACATATTTGCATTCTGTTTCTGAATTGTAGTTTAAAAAACAGAAAGCACAATGCCATCCCGTGTTAAAAAAAAATTTGAACCTGAGAAATTTTGAGCTGAGCACCGTGAAGATGACACAAGGCTTTGCACTAGTATGAAAAAGGAGAAAAAGCAGTCACATGAGAAACATAAGGACAGTTACAAACAAGAAGTGATCATTCAAATTATCACAAGACCACAAAATTATCAGGCGATAATCAGCTGCAGGCCAGAGAGCAGCGGGCCAGAGATTATACTGTGTTTACGTTTTTTTCACTTGTAATCCTCTCTCCTGTGTTTCTTCTTAGGCCTTGATTGATTCCAGGGATGGAAGCAATTAATAAAAAGAAAAAAGGAAAAACACTTGACTGTATATGGGTGTAGTGAGGGCCCTCATAGGCTTGAACCATAAAGAAACACCTTCATTTTGAATTACAAAGTTACAAACAATGAAATCAGTCAGCATGACATAACCTGGACGTTAGTACCTGATTCAATTTCATCCAGCTGCTTCTTGGAAGAAGCCAGGCTTTAACAGCATGGCTAGGCAGCTTGTTCCCCACTTCCACAACCCTGAAAATGATCTTTATTCTGTTCCGGTTGTACAGAACAACGTTTTTCCTGCATTTTCTGTACCTCATAACTATGCTACTTGGCATCTTTGTGTTCTTTCTCTGCCTTGATTTCTCCTCCAGGCTCGCACATCCCCTGGTAAATAAAGTAGGTCTTTGTGTCATCCTAGGCTCTCAGCTCTAAACATCTAAAAAAAAACATAACCCGGATTTTTTTTTCATTGAATACGAACAATGCCTGCTGAGGACACAGATGCGTTTTAATCTGGATTATACTTGGGTGTCCTGGTGGAGAAGGAAGAACACATGATCTTTGAGGGCTTTACACATATCCGGAGCCCTTCACTGGGATACTGTTGGGACACATACTGTAGTGGTTCCTATTGAAACGGGGCCCTGTATCATCTCACTGGAAACCTCGCATCTTGCATGCATGTCAGACCTCCCACTGTCACGGTTAGTGAGTAAAAAGCATTGGCTCCCTGTTGAAATTAGTGGGCTCACCGGAGCTCTGATCTGCTTATGAGAATGAATACAGTTAGGATATAAGAACAGTGCCAGCAGAGAGGAGCCCATCTATCCCACGTGGTGTAATTGATCCGAGGGCTTCTTCCAGCTGTTTCTCAAAGGAAACCAGGGTATCAGCTTCAACAGCTCAGATGCACTTGTTCCAGGCTCCCACATCCCTTTCACCTGTTCAGCAGTGTTGAATTCAACAGTGTTGAATGTTCAATTGATGCCACATTTCAGATCAAGTAAGGCTTCGATTATCTCATTTAAGGTGGGTTGGAATGGGAACCACCAGGTGTGTGGGTCTTCAGGACCAGGATTGGGTACCACTTCCCTACAGCAAAGAACTGCTATACAAAAGCAATGGCAGCCATGCTGATGGTGACAATGACACTGGTGACAAGTCCCATTTCCTTTCCTGTCTCCCTGCAGGCACGGCTATCCCGGTGGGCATCGACGTTCAAGTAGAGAGCATTGACAGCATCTCCGAAGTCAACATGGTGAGTGCTGCCCCGCCCCAGTGAAGCACCGCTGTACCAGAGCCTGAAGCTGATTGGCTGGCATGACTGTGATGTTGGAGGTTCTGTTGTCTAAGCTGCTGGATGGGTGACTGTCACTGTAGCCTGCCTAGTTACATGTTCTACTCCATTTGCTTTACAGTATCTTTTGTTCCAGCTGGCCTTTGTTTGATAAAGACTCTTATGTTGCACCTGGGAACGCCTCTTGATGAATTATCCAGCTCCTGCCCCTGCACAGTACAAGATAGATAAATACATCAGGTCCCAGAATTGTTTATATCCCTTCTTCTTAGAACGTATGACCTAGGAAACCTAAGCAAGCAGTTAGGTTTGTTGATCGTGTTGTTCCTTGACATAACAATACATAGCCCGAGTCACTTTTATCGAAATTCTGAGTGCTCAGTATCTGAGCTCTGTTAAAATTCACAAAACGAAGTAAGTGATCCATATAAAACACATTCAAGAAGACATGGTTTTGATTAACACAAGAATAACTAAAGCTACAGCAGTACCCTTGCTGAGTAATGACGTTTACAGGATTAAAGGCACCTTGTAAGTGAGAGAATATGCTCAGAGAACGAGATCCTGTGCACCAGCAAACTGTAGATTAGCTCTATAAGGCTCAGGCTACATCTTGGAAGGCAGAGTATCCTTGCACCAGATTTCACAATTCTGTGGAATCGTGATAGACAGCAGAAAACACCATGAGAGGTCACTGGGAGAAATATCCTTCCATATATAATGACTGTAGCTCACCCTTGACAAAATCATTATCTCCATCAGCTGTGTGCCACAGGATATCTGAGGTGGTTACGGAGAAGACAGCGGGGTGTTTTCCTTGAGAAATGCCATTTTTCCATTGACCTGTTAGAAGACAACCCATAGAAACACTGGTGGATGATACGTTGTACAAGCCAACCACTGGGTTGATGAAAGCATGAAGATATGGGGAGGAATCTTTTTAACACAAGAATAACATGGTTCAGATAGAGGGCAGGGTTGCTGCTCAGTAATACACTGACGAAATCCTTGAGCCAATGGTTTTCTCAATCCTGCAAGCCATTCAACAGGTGTCGATTTTCCATCAGGACAATGCAAAACCATGCAATGCTGGGATTACAGTGGCGTAACTACAAGAAGACAATGCTGAGCTGTGTAGTACCAACTTGACATCGAGAGGAGGCAGCCATATCCAAGCCAATATTTGTCAGTTGCCTGCAGCTGGACAGGATGAGTAGTAGTACATCCCACAACAGTCTGTCCAGAACCTGATCAGGCCTGTGCTTCAGCTAATGCTCAGTAAGGTCATAACCAAACCTAACTTTGAAGTATTTTCTCTATAGTGGTGCCACTACCATAAATGTAGAAAAAGTGCGTAATTGCTTGATTTATATTTTGTTCACCTATTCTGTGATTTTGTGTTATCTTTATAAATACATTAGATTTGGGTGCTGCATTTCTTTTGTCCATCAGTACACCTGTGGTAATTGTATTGTTTTATGCTGTGTATAGTCATAGAAATTATGCAGACAAAGTGGACATATACATTTATATATCTTTTAAAGACTGTGATTGTAGCAGGGCACCAGTTAATCATCCTCCTACAATGTGAGAGGAAGCTGAGGGGGCCCTGCACAGTCTTGGTGTAACTTGGGCCTGTACAAACACAGCACTCGCATTCCTGGTGACTTGATCTGACCTGTCCCTGCAGGATTTTACCATGACCCTCTACCTGCGTCACTACTGGAAGGATGAGCGCCTGGCCTTCCCCTCCAGCAACAACAAGAGCCGCACCTTCGACAGCAGGCTGGTTAAGAAGATCTGGGTCCCAGACGTATTCTTTGTCCACTCCAAGAGATCCTTCATTCATGACACCACCATGGAAAACATTATGCTAAGGGTTTACCCTGATGGCAACATCCTTTACAGCGTCAGGTACAGCAACCAGTGGGATGATGTGAGACAGGAGCCTAGTTTAGGAGCCTGTCAGAAAGCCAGACATGGAACTGAGCCTGGGTTTAGCAGAGACCCTTTCTTCAGGTAGTCCTGTGACCCAATCCACACCTTTCTGTCTGTCCTTTGACCAAGCGAACATCAGTTTTGCCACTTTGCAACAAACTCAGCTTGATCACGAGACACTATTCAGAAACTATAAGAAACAATTTTATGGAGATTAATTATACAAGAGAACAAATGATCATAAACCATGTGGTAGCTCAGCTTTAACAAAACTGTTCGGTACACGTTCTGGTGAAATTGCATGCCTTAGTTAGGACAAACACCAATAAACCGTTGTTCAGAAGTTCCTGTTTACCTAACACGTTATCCATATCATAGAAAAGTGAATAGAAAAGACTCTTGGCAAAGTTCTAGTTGTACTTACTGTACAGAGCAGCGAGATGCAGTCAGTTGACTAACTGGGCAGAAGAATATTTGCTTTGTTTCCACGGGGAAGGTAAAAGGGGAACAGAGTGGCGGTGAGTCTCTTGAACTTCACACCTCTGTCTCATCTTGTGTCCTCTAGGATCACAGTCACTGCATTGTGCTCCATGGATTTCAGCAGATTCCCTCTCGACACACAGAACTGCTCTCTGGAGCTGGAGAGCTGTGAGTATGTTTTATGCACACCTCTTAAGTACACCTCTTTATATAGTTGAGCACATTGCAAACAAACTGAGGGTAATTACCTGGTCCCATGTTCTTTTCTTGCACAATAAACCCAGTTTGCACTAATCATTCTCATCACCTAACATATATGTGTTTTGTACAATCTACAACAGATCTTTACACGAAGGTCAGTATAGCGTATTTGCCTAATAGTTTTTAACTGGACAGACACTTGGTTTTTAGGGGCCATCTAGTGTTTGGGGAGTGATAACGTATCTTCATTCAGAGTTTCACAAGTTCAAAAAGTTTGAAACTGAAGGGACGTCCAGCATTCTGATCAATTTGTTCTTTAGCCTAAGATGTACAACAGGAAGAGGTTTTATCTTATTCGTTTTCTTACAAAGTCTTAGACTGTTTTTTTCAGATGTGAGATTTTAGATTTCAGATCTTTGCACCGTGTGTCTTACTTTGGCAGTAGACAAGCACGGCTTGAATTGTGGAGGTTTTAGAGACATCCATGAAGGTAAAATATACAAGGTCATAACTTGGGGAACTGTCACTTCCCCTCACAAATCTGTTTTACAATCTCTGCAGCTAAGACGATTTCCTGCCTATTTAGGTTAATCATCCACCTCCTAGTGCCCCCCTAGTCCAGATCCAGTCATTCTGTCTGCAAAATTGATTGCCCAGCTCACAGCCCAGTTACCAGGGCAATACCAACAAGCCTGCCCACAGGACAAGATTTTACTGGGACCTACATCCGTGTTCTGTATATAATAAGTAAACTTGGGTTTCTTCTTTCTCTTTGAACTTTTGGTCTTCTTTTCCTCTCTTCCAGATGCTTATAATGAAAATGACTTAATGCTCTACTGGAAAAATGGGAACGATTCATTAAGGACTGATGAGATTTTGCTGTCTCAGTTCTTTATTGAAGAATTTAATCCTTCCAACGGGCTCGCTTTCTACAGCAGTACTGGTATGTCTGTTAATTAGCCAGTACCTTCGTGTCTGAGCCACATACACAACAAAATTACATTGTATTTCAAGCTGAAAATATGAAGGGAGGCCACTTAGTCACAGAATTGGCTTATTTTCCTGACAGATGTTCAGCCTTGAGCATTCCTGACCCTGTTTAATTTTTATCTCTTGGAACTTCTCCACCTCCCTAGTTTCAAAGCGAAACATGTCACTTAGCTCTGCTGATCACTTTGTGAGGGCTGCCGGAGGTATACTTTGCATGCTTTGGAAAGAGCTTGTTACACAAGATTTACTTCTGTGTACCTCCTCAGGTCTGCTTTAAGATTTCTTTTTTAGACATCTGTTTTTTCTGACGTTTCGCTAATCATCCCCCAGAGGAATGACTAACACAAGGCTTCCTTTATTCTGCTGGTGTTATGACACAGGCATCAATTGACAGTAATTCGCATGAAAATAAGGATCAAACAGAAGCAAGGAAGTACTAAATACTCTACCGTACATGAAATACTGTAAGGTGAATCTGAACATTATCACGTCCATTCAGTGTTTTCATTTCAAATTGGAACTTAGGCTATCTGATTTCAAGGCTCCTTACAAAACAAAACTTGTACTATTTAGTTAGGCCAGGCCTCTATTACAAAAAACAGTAATTATGCCTTAGTAAGAACATAACTATAAAGGACAAACAGATTTTCCTGCATTTATGTAGTGACATAGTATAGATGCAGTAATTGCACTGATAATAAACGGTCACTCAAAGACTTAAAATAAAGCATCCTAAACTGGCCGACTGCTATTTTGCTTCTGTCTCACCATGACTTCCCTTGATGTTGTTGTAGTTCAGCCTCTTGTTTGTATAGTATATATCTTGCAGCTAGATGTCTTCTTGCAGGACTCTGACTTGCAAGTCAGAGTCTGTGGCGTGCTTTTCCTGCATACAGAATAATTTTCAGGTCTCTCCACGGCCAGTCTGCACTGCTAATGGTCTGTTCTCTCTCTTCTTCTTATGTTACAGGATGGTATAACCGCCTCTATATAAACTTTATACTTAGGAGGCATATATTCTTCTTTATGCTGCAGACCTATTTCCCAACCATGTTAATGGTGATGTTGTCCTGGGTTTCATTTTGGATTGACCGAAGAGCAGTTCCGGCCAGGGTCTCTCTAGGTAGTATACCATTCTGACAATGATGCGGAAGAAATAATGGAATACCCCCGCAAACCCACCCCCCTTTCCCAGTACTTGCATCCAGACAACAACATCTTTTATTACCTGGAAACAGATCTTCTCAGAATGAACACAGCTCCCAGTAACAACATTCCCGAATTTGCAGACTTTGATCCAAACCCAAGCTGATGACACGACACCATTACTCTTTTTTCTCCATAACGTGACACACCGGCTGGAAATCATCCAGAAGTCTCTTGAGCCCAAGTCCCATTCCAAAGTTTGTGGGCTGTGTCTCAAGTCATCAAAAAACCACAGGGGTTCAGCGCCTCGGCCTGACGAAAGCAGGCAAAGCTGAAATGTGGAAGGTCCTTGCTTGCTAAGAGCATCTCATTCAATTCAATTCAATTTATTTTTATATAGCGCCTTTCACAACAAGGTTGCCCCAAGGCAACCAAGAATAGTCATCTCATGGTGACATTCTTATACTGGCAGATGTGTGATCCAATGGTTAACAAAGCATGGCTGTTACACACTTTTTAGAAACTTTATAAATGTTGTTCTTTAGGCAAAACTTACATATGGGATTGAATTTGTGACAATTATATGAGCCATTGTTTTGGCCACACCTACAGTATATTACAGTACTTTTTTGTCCTTTGTTTGTTTTGGTCATACCAACATTTTTGTTGGCCCTTGTTTTGGCCACACATTTTTAACTTGTTCGAAATGTGGTTCAGCCAGTTCTTAATACAAATCATCAAGCTTTTTAAAGTCTGTGCTCGGACAACAGAGAGTAACGCTCGGTGCAAAAGACTACACGTGTGAAGCCAATGTCTGCTACCGTACATGGCAACCGTAGATTTTGAGGTGATGAATCCACTTAACAAAACACATCCTACAGTGTAAACTGGTGTGCAATGCTGTGGTTCTCACAGGGACCAGCAGTCAGTAACACATTGTTTGCATACTGCTTGGCAACAGCAGGAGGCAGCTCTTAAAAGGAGTCAAGAAACATTTGCACCAGGATGAACTCTCATTTAACCAAAAAAAGTTGTAAAAAATACAGAAAACTTCACAGGTTTCCTGTCACCTTCATATAATCAGCCCTGATGTTGGTTATAATAAATGCTCTTCAGAGTTATGGTGTTTAAGAGCAAGTAGAACTATGATATACATGAATATCAAATAGCTGTGAAGTTAAATAACTATGGATAGCTGACAGCAAGTCCGTGCTGCACAAAACTGCAAAGCACAAGGACAGACACACACAGCAGTCTGATAATGTGCACTTGTACATTCAGATATGAGCCTAATACAAATGCTCAAACAAAATGCTTCAGGAAAACAGGCCATGCCTGTGTTTTATGCTTGAGGATGCTCAGTTTTGTTTTAAAGTGGAAGGATTCTTGATAATCCAAAAAACTGTCCTAAAACTGAAGTATGTTTTCGAACGAGAAAAGCTCAGAGGTGTGTTCTTTGCCTTTGTTCACTGCAGGAATCACCACTGTCCTGACCATGTCCACCATCATCACAGGTGTGTCGGCCTCCATGCCCCAGGTCTCCTATGTCAAGGCCGTGGATATCTACCTGTGGGCCAGCTTCCTGTTCGTCTTCCTCTCCGTCATCGAGTACGCTGCCGTCAACTACCTGACCACCATTGAGGAGATGAAGAAGATGGAGAAGGGAAAGGTCTCTCTTTGCTCTCCTTTTATTTTTTGAAAGGGTGCCCTTCACTCTTCAGCCCTTCAGTCTTCCTGACCTATGAAATGCCTAAATGAATGAAATATTTTCCTAAACTGGACTATTCAAATTCTTCCCTCACCTCTGCCTCTACGCTAGACCTACAACACCACAGCCAAACACACGAGGCACACAGGAACTATCCAGCTGAAGCGTGCACAGCCTCCCCCTGGCTGTACTGCCCAGGGGCCAGACGCCGTCATCGCTGGGCTCCATGGGGAAGATAAGGACAAGCATGTAGTCCTTCTAGACCCAATCAGAAAATCTGCCAGCAATGAAGATGCCCCCAAAAGTGTTCACAATATAGTTAGGAAATGTATTTAATGCAGGGAAGTAAAGTACAATATGGTTTTCTCTTCATTTAAACTCTTATTCACATAGCAGAAATAACGATTGAGTGAACCCTTCTGCCAGATCTTCAGATTTTTACATCTGAGGCTGTTAAAACCCTGCCTGGCTGTCCGCAGCCCCTGGGTTAGTACCTGCCCCACAGGAGGGTCGCTCAGAGTCTCGTAGTGTTCATGGCTGTGCCTCTGTCATGTGACCATCATGCCTGATGTTATCCCCCCCTCCAGCTTCCGGTCACGTTCAACACCACGCAGGCCATGGCTTTCGATGGCTGTTTCCACGACAACGAGATCGAGCTGACGCCTTTCCCGGAGATCCCCGTGAACCCGGAACAGCCCCCGGCGCGGAATTCCGCGGACGCCCAGCCTGTGGAGGGCCACCGGCTGCGCAGGAAGCGCTCCATCAAGAGCAACGTCAACTACATCATGAACAACAGCCACGTCATCGACTCCTACTCCCGCCTCCTCTTCCCTGCCGCCTACCTCCTGTTCAACATCATCTACTGGGGTCTGTACTCCTAGAGGGGCATTCCCCTTTCCCATATTCCTGGCAACCGGACTGCGAAACTGTCTGTCCGGTTGCAGAGGCCATAGCAACCGGGAATCCAGGTTGGAATTAAAAGCGTAAGGTGGGATCTCATCGCAAAACTGTGTGGAATATACACAGAAGAACCATCAAGCTCCTAATGATTAATCAGCCTGAATAAATAACATCTGTCGGATTAAATAACATTTATTGGTACAGTCATTCTGTAAAAATAGTCAGTTACAAGCAAAACTCTGAATGTCGACTACTGCAGTGCAACATGCTAGTTGACAAAATGTAGAAGATACCTGTACAGGTTCCAGTAGAATAAATAAGGTTTCAATAATCCTTCAAAGGACAACAAACACAAAATAGAAAACAAAACCCATAAACAATATTAAATTCAAGTACAGTACAAGGTGTGCAAATAAGTTTACTTTTATAAATCTTGGGCCCAAGCTTGGAAATTCATACTTTCCAATGAGTCGGAGGACATTCATGGCCCCTGTGTGCTGGGCACGTCCACCTGTGTCACAGACCAGGGGATATTCAAGCACAGCAGCCTGCCATTCACTATCCAGAAGTCACTTGTTTTCATTGTCGGCTATGCTTTCTCTATGAAAACCATGGAGTAAATTCAGGAAACCTACAAATCTTGGCCATCTATTTGTTGACATGTTGTGTGTGACACTGAACTTGTTGAGTATGACCCAAGATGTCAACAGGGCTGACCTGGGCCTGTGACAGCATTACAATCCCCAAGGAGCCTAGAATGTGCCCACAGCAGGGGAAGTTGATCCTCATGTTCCAAGAAGCAAAGGGACGATGTTTTCCTGAATAGGCAGAACTCAACAAATTGACAATTTGAATCCAGAATTTCTGGAATAACAGCGGCCGGGCTCCTTACTCCACATCGGGCTTCTCGGCCTGTGCCTTTCTCTCGGAAACACACAACAACGTTGTGGCTGAAAGGCTGCCCTGGTGGTTCACACGCTTCATTTTAGTTCTCTAAAAGTGAAACTGGGTTTATAAAAAAGCCTAGTGTGTCGAGATTGATAAAAAAGCAGAGTGTGGTTTCACTAGTTTCTGGAGAACGTTGACGTCAGCACAAAGCATATTCAGCACCTATCTTTGCATTTATCTGTATCTATACATATATATTAATACACTGGCACTGTGGTAACCTGGTGTTAGGCGGCAAAAGGTTTTACAATGCAGGACTCTTCCAGTCATGATCAGTCATGAGAATCTGGTGCCTCCTTGTGTGTAACAAACCTTCACCAGGCCAGATCAAAATCATCGTCCCTTCTTCGTCCTGAGCCTGTTATTGGAAATGTCATTGAGCACCACATCCAGGCTGGGCTCACTCAGTGTCCCAACATTCACGTCCTCATATGGATTACCTGCAGAGAGCGCACGAGAGGATTTTTTTTTTACACCATTTCAGCAGGAATGATGTGGATTAACAGTTTAAAGGCGACCTTGGTTTTGGAGTTTGTGCAAGAAACCTTTTTTTTCATCCACCTACACAGAAGCTCTCATCTTAGACACTCTAAATGGCTCATGTCCATGGTCAAAGACAAATTTGATGCACATCATATTTCAACTGTCTGAAAGCCAATATTTCAAATGTACCCCTATGAACAATTTACAACAGTGACAAAACAGTAGCAGCATGCATCATGGGTAATGTAAGCTGTAATAAAATCTGTGAAATGCATGTTTTTTGCATGTATCACCCCTTTGCGCTTCTTACAGTACAAGTTCAGTATGTTGCACTAAAACCATGGGGATCAAATGCATATTTATGCTTTTTAAAGAATACAACAGTTACTTGTATGTCAAAAAGACCTTAAACGTATTTTCATTTTTTTTTAACTAAACATGCCTACAGGGTTTTATTTCTGTGAAGTATCTATAACTTACAGCAGACACTGATTTCAATGTTATGGAACTTGCAATTTTGCATGAAGGTATCTTCAAATGCATAGTTGGTATTAGCTGTGGCTAGGTCAAGGGTTAGGATATTTAAATGCAGAGGTTCTGGGACTGATGGTAGTGACACCTGAGCCAAACAGAGCCTGGCAGTGGTGCCACCACCTTTACAACGATCACTGCGAGAACGCATGGCATGCTTACTGTGCCCGCTGACTTGGTCGCTGCTCTCGCTGACCAGGTAGGTGCTGGAGTTGCTCGAAATGTTGTTGGAGTTGGAAGAGTTGAAGGACCCCTCTGCTACTCCTGCGCGCTTCTTCGTCTTCTGGGTCTGTGTCCGGCTCCATTCTAGACATCAGGAGAGCAACGCGCTCAGATGAAATCTGAGACCTGACAATCTGGCGACACATCTTTTGGCATCTCTCTGTCTAGCCCTCCGTTAACCTATGCATCCATCTGCCAGGCCAATTATCCATTCATCAGCCTCTCTGTCCTTTGATTCATGCACCTCTCCCTCTTGTCTCTCTGTCTATATACACAGTTTTTCATTTTAGGTCAAAGGTCTGCTTGGTTTCTTCTCACAGCGTACTCTGAGACATTCGTAAGTAAATCAACAGGTGCTACTAGACTTGAGACACCCTTAAAAATCATCTCAAGACGTTATCTGTCCAAATGCTATTTTTGAACTGAGTAGCTAATGTTCTAACTGACTCATCATTTATTTTTAAAACAAAAAATATTGTAACAGTATTTTAGAGGAGATGGGCATCTATATATTATACATTCCTGATCAGTATACCATGTTTTCTTCTGCTATTGCACCAGACAGAATGAGTCCCTCTGGCCAGTATTCCTGAACACTGCTGGTAACTGATGAAACAGGTGCTGTTCTCACCTGAGTTTTCAATCTGACGGAGTTCTCCACAGCACAGGTACATTCTCCATTGCTTCCGAACATTTTCCTTAATGGCACAGTGAAAAATGAAGATGAAGAATCCTGCAGGAGAAACAAAAGTTGCAAAAAAAAAAAGGTCACACATAATTTATCATGTGAGGCATGTCAAGGTGTTCCTAAAAAGACACCCCTGCCAGTTGTCATTTTTTCACAGCACGAAAGTTGGGAAATGTGACAAAATCTTGCATGGAAATGTCCATGTACAGTAAAACAAATTGTATGTCACATATCATACTCATGGTATAAATCAAGCGTGCTCATTATTATAATTCATGAAGCCATTTCTGCTGAAATTGTACTTGAGGGCAGTTTTAGATCATTGACAGTTGTACACCTGCAGAGACATCAGAGATGAAAGAATCTAGTTGGATTTTTTTGTTGCTGTGAACAAAATGATGTGTGGAAGATGGAGCTTTAAGCAGCTGTTTGGCAGGAGGTCAAACCCTAATCTCACCCACTCCTGCCTACCTTGGCTTGACTTTCAGGATGCTAGTTTACCCAGCTGACTCAGGTTCTTATCGTTCTCTTCACACCATGCTTACCCTTGCAGCACCTCCCTGGCTCATCCTTCATTAAAAACAAGGGAGTCCCAACAGCTAAAGACATCTGGTTATTCTCCTCAGCCAGGTGGCTTATCTTGATAAAGCCCACTATGCAATGGCTCAAGACCCTTGGGTCTCTTTCCTACTCTGCACGCAGGCGGACAGCAAGTTACCTTGCAGGGAGTTGAAGATGGCGAACAGGTACATGAAGGCCAGGTTGACGGGGCCCCAGGCGAAGAAGGCGAAGCCCCAGGTGAGGCCCAGCAGGAAGGTGAGGCCGGCGGCGCTGCGCAGGTCTTGCAGGGCGCTGCGGTGCTGGGAGTTGTGAGGGTTCTTCCTCTTGATCCGGCACAGCTGCACCATCACGGCGATGAACATGCACAGGTTCAGCAGGAAGACCAGGCCAAAGTACGCCACCACCGCCACGTAGAAGACGGTGTCGTTCAGTATCCAGCAGCTGCAGGGCAGAGGAGGATTAAAATGGACACAGAGATGCAAAATATGAAAACATTTTAAATATCAGAATCACACAAGCTCCTAGAGCTGCAATGTTCTTACAAAAAGGAATTTCTACATTGCAAACTCACAAATCATCCGTTGATCCATCGGGGAATCTTCCATAGGACATAAGACCATAGTTGTCTTTGTTGACGGCTATAACAATGATGACTATAATCAGTGGGACACCTGAAAATATTCCCAGAAAGAAAAGGAGAAAAGGTCTTATCATGGGACTGAAGAACAACAACTACAGAGTGCTTCATAATTCAGAAAAAAAGTAAAACATGAAATGTACTGTAAGTAGTTAGTACGTTGGGACTAGCATTTTCTCTCTTTTCTTCAAAATAATGGACCCTCTATTTCCACCTTTCAACTTTAAAATCAGATTCCAGATAAACCGACAGGAAAAGGAAGGAGGTGATTCTTGGATTAAGAGGCTATTTGCAACAAAACAAGCAAGAAGGCTCGATGTAATAGCCTGTTCTCATTTGTAACCTTTAATATGTTTTTATTCAATATTGTTATGATGATGATGATGTCACACTCGTTGCATTACGTAGAAAGACCATCTTCTGCTCCACATTACCAGTTCAGTACAGAATGTTAGACTTTTTATTGCCTCTAGAGGCCCTTATGTCCCTTATGGCCCTTCAAGCAAACTGCATGGTTTATATGGTTTTCACTTGGAGTGCCTGAGCACATAATTGGACTGATTGCCTATCCTGTGGTTGCCCTGTTCTTTCACAGATGGCAGGTGAACCAGAAGAAGAAATTACAAGGCTTTGATGTCATCATTAATGTAAAGTGGAGTTTCTGTAAATAAGAGAGCAGCTGGGCCACAGGTATTCTCTATTCATTGTGCTTAACTCACCCCAGCCGATGAGGGAGAACTTGAGCATATAGCGGCGCACGTAGATGTTGAAGACCTTCACCAGGGCCAGGTACATGTGGAAGGCCTCTAGGGCCATCCAGGTGAAGGAGACAAGCAGGAAGTAGTGCAGGAAGAAAGCAACCGAGATACAGAGCCCAACAGCATTGCGGTACAGCGCCAACCACGCATCCAGCAGGAACACCAGGTTGAGCAGCATCAGGGCTGTGCATAGCTGGATCAGAATTTTCGATGGGATGTCCTTACGCACTTTCCTGGAGGGAATGAGGAAAGGGGTGAAATAAAAAAAAATTCCTGCTATACCAAGATCAACTAAGATAGAGTCTTTCTGTTTTTATGCCAACTGCACCAAGAAAACAAACACAGAACAGAGTGAAAATACTCCTGCCTGGTATTGTGGTCTTGCAGACCCTGGAACACACATTACTGATTATTACACTGAACAAGTTTCTTCTAAGGCTCAGAGGATTTTTTTGTTTGTCCCTGCTGAATTAAAATCAACTCTATGATTATTAAAATATTGTAATCATCCAATTATGCCCACAGTAAATCAGTGCACAATCACAACAAGCGCTGAGCCTACAAAGGGCTTACTCAAAGGCGATGTAGGTCAACAGAGTGATGGACAGGAAGATGGCCGAGATCCCACAGCCAATGTACGTGATGAAGGTGAGAATCGTGGCCTGCACTGGGTCGCTGATACCTGTTCTGGACAAATCCTATGAGTCAGAGAGGAAAAGGCAGAGAAGGATTATTGTGTATTCCTACAGTCCTGTTTATTTCACAGTTCAGACCCTTTCCACCACTGAGACACTGTAAAACCTTGGTTATATGTCTATCCATTATCATGAAGCCACATATTCCATTTCTCCTTGAAGCTAGCGAAGAGCAGAAGAGGAGCAACAGCTGTCATTAGAATAGCAGCTCCTTACAGCCTTTAAAAAAGGATGTGGTTCTGAGGTTTGGACCCACAGACCAGATTATCTATTATTTAGCATGTATTATAGACCAGCTATATTACTGAGGGGAGAGGGAGCGAGAATGAGACTAACCAGCAGAACTCCAAAGCTTGTGAGATGGTTGCAGCTACAGACAGTTTCCTCTGCTGTGAAATTGGCTACACTGCAGCCTGCGTTACTCCAGCCTCCACTTCTATCTTTGAAACAGAAAGCGAGACAGTGTCATTAAGCAGAACAGTCGTGCCGGCTGCAAACCAGCGTCTGGTCTCCCGAGCAACATGATCATCAAGTTAGGAATGTCTTTTTTATAACTCTACCTGCTGATGGCGTATACAAATAAGAGACTCACTATTTTGGTTGAAATCCCAGTACACGCAGCGGGGAACGTATCCACTCTAGGAAGAGAGACATAGTACAACATGTTAAAGCATACCCAGTCTGAAGCGTGTTGATACTAAGAGTTCTCCCTAAGACCAAACCGGGAATTACCATGACGGGTTCCAGGTTCCGCAGTCTGAAGACAACACTGTCCTTCAAATTAGACAGCGACAGGTTAGCAACGCTTGTTCCAAGGATATAGCTGTTCAGCTTGCTGCTCACCAAGGAGTTATCCTTCAAAGAAACAGAAAGAGTAAGTCTGTGAGCTCAGAAGATGTCCTTGCTGGATGAAAAGAGAGGCAGAAGATACAACAACAGTGATCATGCACGGCCTAAAATATGGAGGACAGTTTTGGAACTCTTGTAGTCCAACAACCATACAGGAAGAGGAATGCAGTTGCTAACGTGCTGTTTGCTTTCAATTTGCAGACTTCACTTTGTTGCTTATTTCAGTGTGTTTTCCAGTATTCAATTTCTTCCCACTTCATGCACAGACCGACCACCACTGTTCAATGCTTCTTTGTTGTGATTTTGAAAACAAATTCCTTTGACTGATACTATAGTAAAGAAAATCCAAAAACTTCAGCTGGATTAAAGAACAAAGTTCTGAGGTTCTCACCTACAGTACAAGTAGCAAAGCCGAGGAGAATGCATTATTGGTCAACAAATATTATGTGGGGGCTGTTTTGGGCAATATATTAAGTACTATTTTGTCCCAAGCCCTTTTTCTACTGTTCTCTGATGTATCTCAGTCAACATTATCAAAGATCAACAAGCGAGTTTTCTTAGCAGGGATTATTGCAGCATAAAGGATGTTTCTCGGGAGTTGGACAGAGCCCTCTATTTCCTTTTCTTGTGTGTGCTTGGGATATATACAGTACATGCTATTTTATTACCAGAAAGGTCCACAGTCCAATTGAATTCAGCTTGCTATTGATAAAGTAGCTCGGATGTAAGTTTCTGCCCTGCTTTCCATTTAGTCCTTCCTGTTCATTTCAAATAAAAATCAAGAACACAAAAATAGAAGAAATACCACAAAGACAGTGCTCTTCTGGTAGAAGTTGAACTGGATTCTGGACACCAGACTCTGCTGCACGGGAGATAAATTATCCAGTAGCACAGCAGGAAGAGTGATGGTGGCAGCAGTGGAGCTGGGTGTTTGGCTCCTTACATCTCGAACCACTCTGGAAGGGGAGGACAAGCTCCTCACATCAACCTGCACCAGATAAAGCACAGGAGAACCTTAAGACAGATGAAAGGGAACAGTATGATTCCAGGTTTCACTTCACAATCATAATTGGCCACAAATAAGAGGGTGGTGGAATCTTTGTTGGTGACACTCATCCTACAGAGCCTGCTTCCCATTTCCTTTTGACTGTTACTTTTCTAACTCTTGGGGCTGAATCTCATTCTAGTTATGACTAATAAAACAGATGCCCATCCATGCACTGCAGGTGGGTTCACACACTTGCATGACAAAATCAGATTACCAATCTTGTCTTGCAAGTGTTCTGAATGATTAAACAGTGGGTGGGCATCTTGAAAGGCTGCAAGTTTTCCTTTTTATAAATTATTGGTTATTTCTAGTTTAGTAGTAAATATACATGAAATCAAAACAAATACGACCTGAGGGCAAATATTGCTGATGAAGCAGAACCAAGAACTGGACCTACTGAGGATAAGAAGGTTGGTCCAAAGATGTGAAGGAAGTGAGTGAAGGAGACTCTAGAGTAGATGTCAACCTCAGGAGCAGTGTATCACCTTCAGCAAATGAGCCCCATGGTCACCTCAGTTTCACTTTCCTTCAGCTTCCCTTCATGTCTCATAGTCCCTGTTTCACTATGTAGTGAAATCGAGTGACTGCTGTTAACAATACCCAAGCTCAACTCATAGTGCCTGTAATTTAACTCCCTGACTCAACGCTCTCTCCCAGCTTCTGGCTTATCACCAAATCCTCATCCCTTGGGCACTGGCTCATAACAAAGGTAACGAACACGACTACCTTTATTCTGCTCAAGTAGGGAGCTGCGTCAGCAATGCATAGGCTGCAAAGGAACAGGTACGGGTTTATTTTGTGCTGAAAAGAAAAGAGACACAATGTTTCGGCTGTGGATCCTTCATTAGGTGTCTCCTCAGATGACACCTGACACCTGAAGAATTCTCCACAGCCAAAGCATTGCGTCTCTTTTGTTTTCAGCATGATATAAACCCGTACCTGTTACTGCAATTCTGCTGCTAGCAGTAACTGGGTAATTTGCTGTAAAGGATGTCCAGTTTCCAGATTTCTACACACATGCAGACTAGACTACACATGCTGTTTATCTGATGAAACTTACCTATGACAGACAACAAATAGGCACTCGTGTTCTGGTATCTTGAGTCACAGAGTGATGCGTCAATGAACGTTCACATTATATACACAGCTGCTGCTGCTGCTCCATACCTGCAGGTTAGAGGGGTCAGCGATGGAGAAGGATGTTTCCTTGAAATTGGCCCCATCTATCTTCTTCACTGCCAGGGCCAGGGATTTAGAGGTAATGTTTTTGATGTCCGAGTCCAGCACCAGCTTGAGACCGACCGTGTCCACCACTCTAATAAGTCTAACAGAATGGCAAACACCAGAGTTTACAAGGGCATGCTTGCGACCAATTCCGACTTGAACAATATAACAAGGTAGATTTTATGTAGACATTTTATGATTAAGAACACGTTTGTATATTCAATTATAGGTTTTTGGAACCTTTGAATCTTGAAAGAAAATGTCCAGATTCATTAATGCAACATTCATCAAAAGGAGACATGGTTAGACTCCACCTGCAACCACGTTTTGCACAAAAGACACATTAAACATTTGAGATTGATTCCAATAAACAAACACAATATGCCCAGTTCAGCGTTTCTTGGCATCAGAGTATCTTCATGAGATTTTCCCTGCTCAACATTTGGGTAGAACCACTGCAGTTTACAGAGTAGCTACTCTGGGAAATTGTTTGGGTTTTTCTGAACCATATGTAACATGTGTAAGATGTAAGATGAGTCTGGAGTGGTGATGTCACACCACTTCAGTGTCGAAGTCTCCTCTACTGAGGAGGCTGGCCTTTTGGTCTAGTTAGCTTGTCTGCTGCTCATGTGGGCAGTGTTATTGTTGGCTGTAGGGAGGTGTCTGCTAGATTACAAGTCATGTTATGTTCATATCAATCTGACTGCACATGCAATAAACAGGTCAATGGACAATGAAACCTATGGTGTCCACAGTCGCCAGGGAAGGAGCTGAATAAGAAGCAGTTCATCACAGAGAATTTGTGTTTTTCCATTCATTTGAATATGACTGTGTCTTGTCGGTCAAACTTTGACATTTAATTGGCAGACAAGTCTCAGCCTGACCTTTATTCCTAACCTCGTGTTCCTACCCCTGCTGGTTAGGGAAAAGTTTCCAGGTTCCAAAGTTAAGGAGAAGTTTCCTAATTGGCTAGAGTTATGTTCAGATGCCTTACTGAAGAGACCATCCTCTCATCATAGGATTGACATATATATTAAATATACCGTATCAGCATGTGTGTAACGTATGTATTGTAACCTTTGCAGCCTTGCTCAGCCATTTCCTCTAACATGCCTGCAACACAAATACCTCTAGAAATGTCAGTAACCAGATAAGAAAGCTGATTACTTTTGGGAGGAAGAGGCCAGGGCTTTTTTTGAGGCGTTGAGAAGGTTGCTGACAACGCCCACCACGAGCTGTCCCACACCTAGGCTCACATTGGGGCCAGACACCAGGTTCTCCAGCTCAGACACCAGGCGCTCAACCTCCGACGAATTCAGCGAGGACAGGTCTGTGTTCGGATCCAAAAGAGGGCTGGGGCGTATAACTAGGGGAAAGTGAAAAAGAAAAAGTCAGTGGCTTAAACCACTGACACTGTAATATGGCAGGTACATTCAGGACGTTGATGAGATACTGCCAACAAACTAATGGATTTAAATTAAAATACAATGCTAAAACAACAAAGTGCTGGAATTCTGCTCTGGAAGTCTATTAAGCCTCTCACATTGTTTAAATGTAAGCCTTCAGGATTGGCAGATTCTTATTGATTTACTTGTAGCTCATTGATGAATTGGAAACAGAGCAGTGACCACTGGAGTCCTGAGTCTATGTTGACTAATGAAGGTTACCTGTTGTGATGTTTTTTGTGGAGGCCTCTGTGGTCATTTTGAAGGGTTCTGTGAAGTTAGTTACTGAACTGTTCACGGACGTGGTTGTTGAGGAGCTTGTGAATTTTGTTGTGTTGTTGGCTGGGGCAGGCGTTGTGTAGTTGTTCGTGCTGTTGTTCGGGAGGGTGGTTGTGTAGTTGGTTGGGAGAGGAGTTGTGATGTTGGTAAGGAAGGTGGTATCAGGCATCTGTGTGGGGTTGGTCTCATTATTCTGCCTTGCACAGGTTTCATTAAGAAGAACTGCCAAGCTTTCACTTGCACTGCTAAAGAAATACAAAAATCCCCATGTTAGAAACACAATACGCGGAGGACTAGTAGAACATGTGTAAGACAGATGACAGTCGAGGGCAAATCACTCACCAGGTCTCAGGCCTGTTTGGTCGGTACACACTGTAGTTTTTATTTTCAGGACAAACCTCAGAAAATCCAAGTGAGGAGGAAACCCAGCAAGAGCTGGAATTTAGCAGTCTCAAGGCACTTTGAGGTGACCAGTTACAAGGTGCTTTTAAAAACAAGAAGAAACCATCATCAAAAAGGATTCTAAACAACAGTCAAGGTCCCGCGGACTATCAGACAGATAATTCAGTTCCAGACTGACATGGAGCAAGCTGTTACCAGCTACAGATGGGCAGAAGTGAAGGTAAGGTAAGAGACTACAGAATTTGTGCATAATCAGATTGAAAGGTTATCTACTACATTTCAAATGTTAAACTACAATAAATAGATGCTATCAGCTATTGTTTGAAACAGCAATGAATATACTGCTCTTAATCCTCTTTAACTGGCAGACATACTGGATCAGAAAGTTTAGCTCCTTAGATAACAAACTTACCCAATCGAAACACATCTCTGTCATAGGTGAGGATATTCTTCATCAAAGCCTGAAATGTTTCACTAATAACACATATGTTCCGGGGTGCTGACATCTTCATAATGATGTTACAGCTTAACAAGCTGGGTGGAGGAAAATGGAAAAGATGTGTGTTTTAAGAACATAAGAGCGTTTTATTACAAGAGGCTGCTCAATCTGCCAGATCCCCTCACTTGTTTTCATTCCAAGTGAGTATCAGGCTGAAAAAAGCATTTTCTAATATCACAGCGTAATTCACTTTCATCAAGATTCAGGCCTAGAAAAGATCGATTTTGAAAATATAAAAAATCTGTTGCTCAGGTTTACAGAAACTTACTTTGTGCTTTTGTTCTGACAGCTCACATAGGAATCCTGAATAAAAAAAGGCAAAAATAGAGTGAGCAAGCAAAGGCTATATACAATTTCATGTATTAGGAATTTGTCTTTTCACAGACCCCAACTTGCTCTCCACAAGACACACAGACAGGGAGAGAAGCTGGGGGTCAGAGCGCAGGGTCAGCCATTTATACGGCACCCCTGGAGCAGTGGGGGTTAAGGGCCTTGCTCAGGGGCCCAACAGAGTAGAATTCCTCTACCAGCTGCAGGATATGAACCAGCAACCCTCCAGACACAGACACAGAGCCACCATACTAAAAACAGTATTTAACTACTTTTTGAAGATCTTTAAAGTATCAGAAGATGACAGCTGCAACCTTTTAAATTAATTTGCATAGACGTCCCTCCCCCTTTCACAACCTTCCCTTCACACAACATTGAGCACAACTGTTTGCTGCTCTGCTAGAGCCTGATACCTTCACTAAGTAGAGGACAGAAGTATCTTCCTCACTGCAGTGGTGCAACTTCTGCTATTTGTCTTCAGTGAATGGTAGTTATGAATAAACAGGACTGCTCATGGCTCCATTCATTGTTTGTAGCCGTAAATTAAAAAACTCAGACCCACAGGGAAGGAGGTATCAGCCCCTCTCCAGTTTGAATCAGATCACATGTCTGAGCTCCGTCAAGATGATGGAGTTTCTCTATTGAGAAATGCCCGTTTTCACCACGTTATGTCTTTTATTCACGAAATATCTCCGTAAAATCATTGCAGCATTGCATCTAAAGAGTTTTAACAGTTGTACACAAAATAAATCAAATCACGTTGCAGAACAAGGTAATTGGGCTTGTAGCCCTCTCAAGTCACTTCAATGCAGCCGATACACTGATTCCTCTAGATACCAGTGTAATGTTTACAGTAAAACGCTGCCCCTAGCAACTTTTGTAATAAAATACACTGGGAGGAGGAGTCCCTGCCATCGATCGTCTGTTTCATGAGGTGTCAGCATTACCTGAAGGACGGCTGCAATGCTGACTGCTGCACAAGCAGAGGGCGGCCTGCGAATCAAGAACACTGCCATTAGCAAAGCGTTACAGCGAGGCTTGAAGACGCACTGAGATCCCAACACGAGGAGCTGCGAAGAAGGCGCAGCTGAAGAGGAAGAAACGGGAGTCCTGTTTACTCCACAGGCTCACAAGCAGCTGATCTGAGACACCTACAGCATGGGGGGGCTCTGGGGGAGGTTGGTCCCACCGCAGGCAGGGTTGGTGCGGAGCTGGTTCACCTGCGAAGAGGAAAGGATTGCAGTCAGCCTCTGTTCTTCTTTCCATTATGAAAAATCCCTTTCTAACAGGGAGAAAGATGGCATTAAGAGTAAGAGACCCGACCTTCCATCTCTGAACTTCATCTCACTGTCATATTTGTGCTAATGACCAAAATAATGAATTCGGCCTAAATAACCTTTACCATGGATACTGAATTCTTCATGTTTGGAGGGTAGCTCTGTCTGCAGGTTTTCATTCCACCTGCACTCTTCTTTATATACAGTAACTCATCTATTAGTGAGCTTGACCGGATCAGTTTAGCTTCTCTTGCCTATCGCATCATCCAGGTGGGGGCTACACATTGGTGGTGGTGGAGGGGATCCCCATTACCTGTAAAGAGCTTTAAGTGGAGTGTCCAGAAAAGGGCTATATAAGTGTAAAAATGAAAATTATTATTACCTGTCCCCGAATATATTCCAAGCTCTTGTTTTCAGCTTGTATTCTCACCAGGTAATAGGCAGCTGAAAAATACAGGGAGTCATCGAATGAGACTGACTGATTCAAGGCCCCGTGACCCTTCTTCTGCAGGTATAAGAGGTATCAGGTGTCTGTTCTGCTCGACTTGTTTGATATTGGAAAGACAAGGCTGTGACCTTGTTGCTTAACCCATTTCCAAGTCCCTTCCTTCAGAAATCCTGACTGCCGCATTGCTAGAGCACTTGACTTAATACAAGTTATCCTCCTTGGAAAGGCAGCAGTATCAATGCACACACCTCATTGAAATTAGTCCACTTCATTAACAAGGCATGTGAGAATGCTAAGGGGATCCAAGGGGATAAGGAGAACATTAAATATCATTAATTGAACAGACACACTCACTGAATAAGACACACAAATCATTTTATTCTAGCAGTAATACAGCTGACACAACTGTATAAAAAAGGTGAAGGAAACACTTCTGGTCAATAAGACTCAGGGGTAAAGAGCAATAAATTAGGCAGCTCTTACTGTGTTTGCAGGAATAAACACAAAGAAAGCTCGGAGGACTACCGACCTGTATCATTGCAGAAGCCAGATAAATCACACTGATCTGCCGCCTGGCTTGCACTTTCTAAGAGACAAAAATAAACAGTTATTAGGGTTTATTCCAAGCTGAAAAGAGAAGAAAGAAAACACAACGTTTCGGCCCTGGAGCCTTCTTCAGGTGTTGAAGAAATGTTGTGTTTTCGTTCTTATCTTTTCAGCAGGGAATAAACCTATTACTTGTTCCTTTGCAGCCTATGCATGCTGACGCAGCTGCCCACCTGAAAAAATAAATAGTTACTATTTATTATTTATTATCTGTTATTGCATTCAGTTTGATTCTTTAGATCAATGTGTCAGCATCACAATTTTGATTGAGGTGATTTTGAAGTAAAATACAGTATATTCTCAAAGGAAAATATTCTGCCAAAATCTAACCACAAATGCACTATTTTAGCAATAGATGTTTTTTTAATATCTTATCTCTCTACATACCAGAAGTGGTGTTGAAGCTGGTGCAGTAGTCTACCCTGTTCTCGCTGATGTTCAGCGGAACCCACACCACTCCAGCAGATGGCCTGCGAAGAGAAATTGGACAGGAGGGAAATAAACATCTCATCTCGTCCAAGATAGATGGAGTAGCAGACATCGCTATAATGAACTGGTACTCACTATGGAAGAATGAATGAATATTGAGTTCAATAGACAATATTAATTAAGTCAAATGACTTAAACAATTAACATTGTTTCAAAGAAAGGTTACCAATATGTTTACAGTGACTGTAAACTGTGAAAAAGCAGTATAATTGATATTAATTCAATTAATTAGCAATTTTCTTCTTGTCCTGTGACTATTGTTAATTACATGAGGTAACCAAATCACATACAGACACTGAATCTGCCTGCTTTTAAGTAGAAACCATTCAAAAGCATGGCCTTACCAGGGCACATGGATGCTGCTGTTTTCAGCACAGACGTTAGCTGAAATAGTGGGCGTGGAGAGTAGGGAGACGCTATACCGCATGCTGTCTTCGGCACACAAACACTTGCCTTCAAAGTATGAGATGAGCAAAGACATGAAGAAAGGGTTTTAAGAGACAAAAAATATTCAGCATGGCCTTTCTGCAGTTTTTGTATTTTGCTTGTTGTTCCACCAGCTCTGAGCGAAGGTGTCTCTGTAGGGAGACTCTGTCACGTATGAGAGATGCTGCACACAGACGTACCCACTCTTTCCACAGCACCGTACAGGGTGGGCTGCAGGAGACTGGGTGCTGTGGTGTTCAGCAGCAGCGATCTGAGGAAACACTGGTCGGCGGCCATCTTGAGCTCCAGTACTGCAGTGCAGTTGTTCGTTCTGTCCAGGATGAAACAGGAGAGAAGTACTGTATTTCTTCATGATGTGTTTAACCCCTTTGCAGAGGCACAGTCTGAAGCCATAGAAAACTGTATATGCATGCATTAATGAAACTGAAGAACGAGCTTTAAACCAGAAATTAAATACTAACTCTGCACACAAGGGTAGGCCAAAAGTGGTTCATTTAGGAAATTAAACACAGATGGAGATCTAAGGACTGAAACATTCAAATTTATTAGCCTATATAATAAAATAATTTTTCCTTAAACTTCACAAAAGGATTGTTTAACTTCGCTACTAGCCCATAAAATAAAATCAAATGAACATTATTCTACTCCATTTATTAAAAATACATTTTCACTTGTTGTTTATCCTTCTAAGCATATATTGTAGTCAAAACCCATATTTCTGGCACAAATCTTTTAGTTTACTTTTTATTTGAAACAGAAAATATTGAACACTTGGATTTTCATGCTACATCACCTTTTAGATGAATAAAGCTTGAGGTTTTGGTATATTAATGTTACTGTATATTTCAGTGACTGACCTTATACTTTGTTGTTTGTTTTCACATCTGACTTGGATACTCTGAAAAGAACAAGAGTATAATTTAATAGTTTTATTGTGATTCAAATGAGATTTAAAGAAAAGTGACAGGAGGTCACTTAAACACCCATTATTAGAGGATCATCTGTTTACCTGAAGCAAACTAGATGTTGTCTCTGTCTTGGTGTCACATTGTCGTTCACCTCTAGAAAGAAAAAGAACAGTAAGGTCATAACCTTTGAGAAAGTAAGAATCCTGGCGAGTGTTAAGAAATATAATACTCTAGAAGTATCACACTGTGGTACAGATATCTTAAAGGATGAGCCTTCTTCACACCTGAAGAAGGCTCCACAGCCGAAACGTTGTGTTTTCTCTCTTCTCTTTTCAGCAGGGAATAAACCTATTACCTGTTCCTTTGCAGACTACGCATACTGACGCAGCTGCCCTGAACCACTATCTTAAAGGATGGTTACTTTGAGTTGACATGTACAATTGTTACTTCCAGGTTTGGTCTGAATGAATTTTCTCTACTTAATAAAAGAGTAACAGTAATGAAGCTTTATTATTCACGAATGTTTCGTGGCTTGAATGTATGGATGGGTGCTATCTTCAATCATCTTGGGGGTAGTGAGAGGGGAGATATATTTATGCAAAGGGTTGTTTCTTCTTTTAGTTTGTGACGTCTTTACGATAAGGGTTGAGGGAGTGAGAAACAAGCTATCCAGGCATACTGGTCAAGCCAATGAGATCTTTGGATCAATAACCTACTATCAAATATCCTAGATAGGCTGAATAGCCCCCTCTTATTGGTAACTGTTCTTCTTACTTTATGGCACTCACAGTGCTATCAATGTAATTCGGAAATATATTAATTGATAAATAACATAACCTCATCATCACCAGTTGCTTCCAGATAGATGATCAAGTACGTAGTATTAGTTCTTCATTATTGTACCGTACCTCAGAAAGAAGGAACTTATCTTGTTTGTTGTGCTGTTCGTGGGCACACATGCAAAGATGTTGAATTTTTCTGTGAGCTGTGAGTCAAGTATAGATAAGGAGTTAGATGCAATGAAACGTCTCCTTCGCTCAAATTCTTTATCAGAAGGCTGTTCTGATTAAGCCAGACAGTGTAAAAATAAAACAACTGTTTAAACACCAAAAGTAAATGTTTGCTTCTTTGTACATTTTAACCAATAAGATTGCATGTGCTGTTTTCTATGACGTTATAAAAGAGGATTGGATGAAAGTCTTTAGCCTCCAGGACAAAATCATTGTTCTCTTTGCCTTTTTTCAGAACAATTGCCTGTCAATGTGGATACGAGTCTCTATCCTGTCTTTTATCTGATCCTTCCTCTTACATCACATATCTAACTCTGTTACAGTATTTTCATATGCAACCTCTTTTTGTCAAGAAAATATACAAGAAACTGAGTTACAAAAAAGAAAGAGATTCGTACTATAGTTCTTAGTTCTTAGTTCTTACAATAACCTGTAATTTAAATGTCTGTGCAGGTTCTTTTAAAGGTGTGGCCAGCACTTCCCTGATTGTTCATCTATAGTGTCTTGGTTTGTTTTTGGTTGGGGATCAGGACCTCCGACACTTACCCAAGCTGTAATTTGAGATTCACCAGCGTTGCCATTAGAAGAGTTAAAAAATATGTTCATTCCGTAGTATGCAGCTGTCAAAAACAACAAACATGCTAGTATTAATCCTACAGAACTGAGCATTGTAATTTACTATGATGAAGCTGCTTTTTATGACGTATCCTAAAATCCTCCTTTTTCCAGACAGTGGCAGCAGTGCATCCAATCGTGTTCTATTGACGATGTAAGTTCTCTCAGAACTTGTCAAATCATAAACATTTCGTAAGACACCCTTGAAACTGGGAAAGCAGGGTTGCACTTACTTGTTTTGGTACAGAACTCAGAGAAGTTGCACAGGCACAGAGTTGGGAGTACTAAAACATAGAAAAAAGAGAAAAGTAAAGCTGCAGTGTAGTATTTCCACACCACACACCAACAACTGGAGATATCTAGGCTACTCTGAATGTAATAAACAGCAGCTTGCCTGTCTCAGAGTAAGGGAGAGTGATATAGGTAACTATGGACGCATCCTCAGCTGAAACCAGAGAAAAGTGCCAGGATCAGTGACCTCAGTACTATACACCCCAGTATATCAACACATTACACCCTAGTGTCTGCAGCCCAGTATATCAGCACCATTCATCCCAGTGTATCAACACATTACACCCTAGTGTCTGCAGCCC